ATCACAAATCAACACTAAATATGAAATCAATAGTTAACTAGCCAAGTACTTAGAAGTAATTCAGTTTGTGAGGATTTGTAATTTAAATAGCATTCGCCATAAAATCAATCTTGCATTTACAGAAATATTACAGATTCTCTCGAGAAAATTAAAATGCATTTTATTTTTATTAAAAAATTACACTATTATGTTCCAAATAAATATTTTGTATAATATATAAAATAGCACTATTTTATTGGGGATTTTATTACAAATAGTAAATCATAAAATTACTTAATCTTTACTACAATAATGTCGATCACATCGATCACCAATTTTGAATTTAAAAGTTCCCCGTGCCATCGACTTGTTTTAAAATTAATCATAAGTTTTACCAAAAGCCCGAAACGAAAAGGATTAAGATTAAAGTGACAAACAAAAACTTGGCGTGCCCGTCGCATTATAAGTCATATATTTTTATTAATATATTGATAATGATTTCTAATAACCTTTTACAAATTTTTATTTTAGATCGGGCATGCCAAGTTTTTGTATGTCACTGTAATCTTAATCCTTTTCGTTCCGGGCTTTTGGTAAAGCTTATAATTAATTTTAAAACAAGTCGATGGCACGGAGCACTTTTTAATTCGAAATTGGTGATCGATGTGATCGACATTATTGCAGTAAGGATTAAGTAATTTTATAATTTACTATTTGTAAATCCCAACTTGTACGCAACAAAAAGTTTTAAAAATATTTACTTTTAAAAAACAGCTTACAAAAAAAATTTTCCCCTAAAAAATAAAAAATAAAAAATAAATATGAAATCAATATTTAACTAGCCAAGTATTTAAAAGTAATTCAGTTTGTGAGGATTTGTAATTTAAATAGCATTCGCCATAAAATCAATCTTGCATTTACAGAAATATTACAGATTCTCTCGAGAAAATTAAAATGCATTTTATTTTTATTAAAAAATTACACTATTATGTTCCAAATAAATATTTTGTATAATATATAAAATAGCACTATTTTATTGCGGATTTTATTACAAATAGTAAATCATAAAATTACTTAACTCTTACTGCAATAATATCGATCACATCGATCATCAATTTCGAATTTAAAAATGCCCCGTGCCAAATTGATCGACTTGTTTTGAAATTAATCATAAGGTTTACCAGATAGGCC